CCGGGACACCATCAAAACAGGACCGGGACACCATCACAACATGACCGGGACACCATCAAAACATGACCGGGACACCATCAAAACATGACCGGGACACCATCACAACATGACCGGGACACCATCAAAACATGACCGGGACACCATCACAACATGACCGGGACACCATCACAACATGACCGGGACACCATCACAACATGACCGGGACACCATCACAACATGACCGGGACACTATCACAACATGACCGGGACACCATCCGCCCACCAGCTCTGACGGTGACCCGACGCCCGTCCGCCTATTAGTTTTGCAAGACCCCATAGCATGGCTATTGGGGAACAGATATATGATGTCAAATGTGTTTTTGGCAAACCCATAGTTGCATGGGGAGTGTTGGTCGAGAACCTAGCACAACGGGAACGGATCTGTCTGACCAGTTTACGCATGTTAGACCACCAGGTTGCAAACAAAGTGGGAACCCAACCGGTATGTTGTCGTATCAGTTGATGTCAAGGGTTCCGGCCAAACGACAAGATCAACATCACCAACTCACAAAAACTGCTCTTGCATCTCTGCAGCTGACATGAGACATGAACAAAACATCGATCGCAACACACCATGTGAGATTTCAGAGAAATCTACAGACTCGTGCGACTCGTAGGGAATGAGGGAATGAACCACCCCTGTAGATACCTCAAGATCCATTCCCTTATTCCTTACTAAGCACCAGTCCGAATATTTGGGTGTTCCGAATTAGGGGTGGTGTTTAAGCTCTACTAAGCACCTGGAGTATTCTGCACCCATACTCCACCAACCCTTTTGACACGACGTCTTTTGGGAACCCTCGTCCCATCCACACCGTCGTCTCCGAACTCGCGCACGCATCAGTCTTGAAGGGGTCGAAGCCCATGTCCTGCATGGGGTCCCGCTCAGGCCCTGCGCGGAATCACTGGACTCGAGGTCCCAAACTGCTGGAGTGGGTGGGGACAGCTTCGAAGTGCGGGCACGCGAAGTTTGTGCATGCTTGGGCAAAGGGTTGTAGTGGGAGCTTGCAGAACGGTGAAGACCTTTGCTATAGGCAAACTGCACCTGAAGAGGTTGCACGGCCCCATGTGCCCAGTCCAACGCGTTTAAAAGTAAAAAACTAAAATCTGCCTGCTCGTTGGCCGTGTGAAAAGGTGTTGCCCCCGCGTCGGGGGGCCGTAGCCCGCGCGACACTCCCTCCCTCTCCAGCAAAGGGTCGACTATTCCCACACACACTCTCGTAGCCCTGCTCATTGGAAGTTAAATTTATAAAGAGGTCTACATAATCAGCTGAAAAGGAGCTCTTGAGGGCTTAAGAAGCCCATGTTCAGACCCTGCTATTCATATCTGTTCATTACAACAAGGACTTGGCTCATAGCCGCTGTGAATTTGTTGGGTTCTTGCATCTACGTAGCCATTGCATGCCATTGCGGGGGGGCACCGAAAGGCACCGAAAGGCATCGTCACCCTCAAAAGCACGACGCCTGGGGCGACTGGTCAGCATGACTGCAATGAATCTCGGAGCCCTGCCTCTTGCTGCAGTGCACAACTACATAATATCATGTCCGCTCCCAAGTTAGACTGGTGCTTTCAACCAATCAAAAAAAGTACGGTAATGATTCTTTGATTCAAGTGTCTAAGCTCATTCCGCTCTTGGGCTGTATGAGTCCACCCCCACTGGAAGAGGCAGCCGACACTTGTCAGTCCATCCTGTCGACGGATCGACTTACGAATGCTTTTTGTTATGATTTCAACGTGCCCGTGATAGCATTTGGAGGAAAGTGTTGAGCGGATTCTCCAAAAAGAGGAAGCCTTGTCATCAAAAGGGGTGTTTTAGAGTCAGGCTCAGTCAGTCGTACCTCCCTACAACCAACCCCCCAAACCTAGCCCAAACACCGTCTCACCGTCCTTTGCTAGCCCAGTCTGAGACTCTTCTGGCTAGCATGTGTGTCATGGTTTTCCATGAGGTGCTGCTGCCATGAGGTGCTGCTGTACATGCGCAAAATTCCTGGGTTCTTCGCTGTGGCTCTTCTCGGATACCCCTAAGACCTTTTTACACGCCTAAGTGACCTCACCAGGGTAGCTGTGTGGAGCCAGCTCATCGAGGTAGGCTAGAGCGCTAAAGAAATTGGGGGCTCAACAGTTGCTGCTGGGTGCGACCAAGGGCGCCACAATGAACCCAAATGGTCAGCCAAAGCACTCGCCTTTCTTTTGACCTTTTTCTTGACATCTTGGCGTTGCCCAAAATCGGTGTGCAATTCCCCTCCCTGCGAAATGAAGCACCTCCAAAAATCAAGGTCCCATGGTGGAGACTCTCCGGGAAAAAGAGTGCCGCTTCAACTTCTTCCAGAAAAAAACCCAAAGAGCTCCAGAGCCGCTGCCTTCTTCGCCCATGATCAGCTCCGGCGCCCAGAAACTGTGGCCAGTGGGAAGAGGGCGTGAGGAGCTCAGAGCCGGCTCCCCAAAATCCCGGGTGGCATCGAAAGCCCCCTTATAGTCAAGGAAAACATGGCTGTAGGAGGGCGCCGGTTTCACAGGTTCGGGGTGGCTCCGATACGAACATGTTTGACCTGGAAGTGCTCACAATGAAATCACCTGCAGTCAGTTCGCCAAAAAAAAGGAGGGGTTGCGTGTTTGTGTGACATTAAGAGTGATGACAGGTAGGGTGACCTTACTCAGGGTAAACCACCCCTGGACCCTCTTGAAGCAAAAGCTCCCTTTCAGCCACAGCAGGTGGTGTTTCTCAGAACACCCACCCTCGAATCATTTGGACCGACGATTGCAGGGGGTTCCCGTGAGGTGCTCCGAACCGAATCTTGGATTTGCTGTCCAGGAAATGGAAAAATACCATCTCCAGAAGAGGGACATTAAATATAATGTACCCATTGGCCCATCGGGCCGGGCAAGTCAAACTCTCCCTATCAATTCAATAGAAGTTCGGCTTCTGCTGCCGAGGGCGGTCCGTTTGGGGCTGCAGCGGTAACTCGAGCTGACCATGATCCTCACCAGGCCAAAACGGTGTGCGGCGAGCATGGGTTTGGTCCTCTTGACTGCCATCCTGGGATTTGCTGTCCAGGAACCTGGAAAACAAGGAAACATCATCCCCAGGTTTGGGGATTTCACCGATCACCATGTATGGAAAATATATGAAAATATATACTAAAAAAACGAAATCACCTTAGGCAAAACCAGGTTAGGGTTTAGGGCGCTTCACGCAGATTCACCAATCCCCCAACTCACCTCACCCTGTCAGTCTGTCGATCGGCAAAGATTTTGTGGCCTGGGAGTGCCCGCCAAAGGCATCGCCTGAGCCTCAGTGTTTCAGCGTTTGGGGGTGCAAGTGCATGTGTCCGGTCATCCTCATGCCCAATGCACGAAAAAGAATCCCAAAATAAAAGGATAATGAAAGGATACTTGACGAATGCAGGTGTGTGTGTGTGTGTGTTTTAATTGACCGCAAGCGCAGGCGCTTACAGGATGAAACATGATAAAACATGGTCAAACAAAATCCAACAACAACCGCTAAAGGATGGCGCAGCATGGCGATATTGAAGCCACCACGGTGACGAAGTGTTGCATCAAATGAATATAACCCAACAAGCTGAAGAATGCATGCTGATTCAATGAACAGCATGTATGACCCAGAGAACCTTCGGGGGGGAAAAAAACATTGGTGATTAGGGTGGTTCGACATAGACTTCGAGCTCGACCCTCTCTTTTGTGTTGGCCTTTCATGCCTTCACAACATACATGACCGCGCACTGCCAACCTCTTCCAGGAGAGGTTAGCAGTTTCCCTCTTGAGCGGGCTCGTCCGACAGCTTCCCTCTACAAACTCAACCTGCCTGATCTGGAACGCTGGTGAGGAAATATATCGACAGCACTTTTTCTGATACAACAGCACAGGTGCCTTTCAGGACAACAGTTCAACAGGCCCACAAATGTCCTGCCAACCAATCAGCAGCAGCCTGCCACAAGTCGACGACTTCTCTCCACACGACCAGCACCAGGTCACCAAGAAGCAAACTGACGGCGCTGAAACCACCACCCCTTCTCCCCACAGCTCAAAACCCGCGACACGTCCACCGCGCGGTCGACGCTGACTCGTACACCGCTGCGCGGTGCGACTCCACGTGCTCGGTCGACTCGCACGGTTTCGCTCCGGCTGGGCCTCACAAGTTTCACAAGGCCCCACTTCGAGGGCTCGCCTCTGGTTAAATCCATGGCTTGGGCTCGGCATGCGGCATGCGGCATGCGGCATGCTGTTCTCCTGCACTTAGGGGAAGATCTCTCCTATAGACCTACCCAGACCTCTCGGTCGCGAGATCACGTTGATGTGCAACATCAGGGTCCAAGGCGGACATTGGTCCTTTCACCAAGCCCCACTGAAGAAGACCTCTGAGGGCTGAAGTGCAACCTGCAGACATCGCGTACTCTCCACAAGAACTGGTCCCCACAAGCTATAGGCACCAGCCCATCCAAGACGACCCAAAAAATGTCCCACGCCAAGGCAAGAAGGCCGACTCATGTCCCAGAAACCACCAAGGCGTGGTGTCTTGCCCAAAATCAAAAAAATACTTAGAGAGAGTCCTTCTTGCTGTAAAAAAGGGATGGTCGTTTACAGTAAATGAATATTGTCGATCACCCACGTAGAACCAAGCCTTTCTCCTTTTGTTCAAATACAAAAAGTCTGGCCAAATGTTGAACAAACTAAACAATTGTACTGTAAATATTGTGTTGTGTCCTCATCACCTTCCCCTGTGTTGATCCATTCCCAAACGGTTTCCACACCGTAGGCCACGTCCCATCATGCAGTTCTTCAGACGTGCTTGGCCAAGAAACATTGAAGAACTTCTTCCCCACGTACAAGGCCAAGCCGAAGTCGGCCAACTTGGCCTAGAGCGCCGCTGGAAAATCTGACGGGCCAGCGGCCAGCTGGGTCGGTGTTCATGGTCACCCAAACGAGAACTTGGATGGAACCAACACACATCAAAACACCTTCAAAACAGTTTATCTAAGCGCTTCCTCAAATTGGGTTTTATTGGGATGATGATCCCATGTGTGCTTCAGGAAGCTGAAAAACCTCGAACTCCAACTACGTCTTGTGCTTCACGTTGTTTCGCCACCGCGAACCCACCCTCCTTCGACACGGTGAACGCATGAGACCAGGAGATCACACGATCACACTCGCCTCGTCGTGGGCGGAGAGGAGGACGTTCTTGGGCTTAACGTCTCGGTAAATGATGCCATAGTCCTCGGGACGTCGCGTGGGAAGCGAAAACATCCGGGGATCAAAACAGCCTCAATACGTACAGACAGAGTCTCTACAGTAGGTGTTTCGGGGGTGGGGTGAACGCAATGAGTCCTTTAAGTGCTTTACCTTGAAAGATCTTGAAAGGATGTAGTCTGCACCCCAGGAACGATGAATTGGCGCGAATTACCTGCTGGGAATTCTTCTTTCAACCGTGCGACTTAGTCTGTATATACTCGCAAAGATCCTGTTTCTAGTTTAGCGAACATGTGCAATGTGCTGCAAGAGGTTTTGTACCCTACTATGTAGGTGGGTGTAAGCCTCCTTTCTCACAAAGGTTCGCTTGACGCTACACTGGAGTCAATGTCTTTAACCTGCAAAAATGCTACCAGCACCCACTCTTGGGGTGGTTCACACTGCTCACACCCCTTCAATCCCCGTCATCAACCTCAATCTTTATGGCTCTTTATAGACACCCCATCAACCCGGGGGAGCCTGTCGTAGCGGGGCCCCAAAACCAGTTTCTCGGGCAGTTTCGCCCCCGCCTCGTGCAAATGCACCAGGGCCAGCAAGACCTGTCCCGCCAACCTTGCAGCACCTCGGACCAGGTCCGCCACCCGAAAGGCTTGGGCAAGGACTGGGGCGATGCACGAGCAATGGGAGGTCTGAATGGAACCGGTTCCAGGAACAGCCAGTGAAAGGCCGAAACTTGGACTGGCCTTAGCTGCACCTTTCTCCCATGGAGCCACCAAACGAGTTCCCTTGCTCGCATCCAGTGGCCAAGCTTCATGCCTATGCTGGAGCTGGGTGCCGAATCCACCACAAGCTTTGATGGGCAGACGTGGGCATCGCAGGTGTCGCAGGCGTCGCAGCCCAAACCCCTGCTCGTTCGACTCGTGTTTTTTCACCGATTGGATCCAGAACACCAGTTCTGCGCTGGGTCTCGACCCAGAGCAAACCCAAACGGTCCCGGTCCCGGTCACGGTCATGACTCCACAAAGAATGTTCGCCGCATGGGCGCCTTCAAGGTCAGCCCCTTCCGATGTGTTGGAGGTTTGGAGTAACTCCAGTGTCACACTGTACCGAGACAGTCGACCTTCATTCTGACATGATGTTCATTTCGAAGCAGCTCGTGTCAACGTTGACTCAGAAGAACGACAAAAAAAAACGGAACCTCGAGTTGTAGAGCAATTCTGATAGAGACTTAGAGACTGTACCAACACCCTGCAGAAGTAAGCCAGGTGCCCCCTCCAGGTCCCCGCACGCTCGGGAGGCAGTCCGGGGTAGCGCCCCTGCTCATTGGCTTGGCAAAGCAGTTGATTCACGTCGCCGTTCGGGCCTCATCTGAAGAAGGAATCTGCCCGTGGCATCCCGTGGCCATCCCTGGTTTCTGGATCTTCACATCCCAAAACCATGCATCTAGTTTTTGAGATGGGTTTGGGGAGCGCAGCCAACAGTTTTTAGATGCCTTGACGTGTCGAATAGTTACCTTAAGGAGTGTGTGGTGACCTATGGTCGGTCCGAAAAAGGGGAAAAAAAAGGAGACAAGGATTTTGCTGCAAGTCTAAGCCGGGAATCCAAAAACAAAAAATACCGGATTCGCTCAGAAACCGCGAAAATCAACATCACCCAACAAAATGAAGAAACAACTGCACAAGGCAGAGAGAGAGAGAGTCCAGGCTTCAGCACGTCACATCTCACGCTCTGCATCCAAGGCGCACAGCTCGAGGAGCAAAGCGTAGTAGTGAGGCGTCTGAAAGGCTTGCCTCAGATGGTAAGGTCTACCAAGCCACAACGATGCCTGAAACGCACAAAAAAAATGCCCGATGCCTGCAGGAAGGTACCCTGCACCCCTTCCAGCAAGGCATTCCCTCTCATTGTAAGGAAATGAGGTGCCTTCCAGTTATGAGTAGGGAGATGGTGCTGCTGGTGGAGTCTGACCATGCACAATCATTGATACAATTTTCATGGGTCCTCATGTAGTCATGCAGTTATCATCGACCCTCTTGATATAGGTGCTATGAAGACAAAGCTTGCTGGGGGAATGTTGGAGTTGTTTCTGGTGCCCCTTTGCAGGTGCCCTGGCTTCGTCACATCCACTCACTTCGGAACTTAAGACCATCTAAAGACCATTCCTTTTTAACTCCTGGTGGTCAAGTCGTGGTTCTTTTTTTGGGCAAAGCGACGCCTTCCTTGGTGCCCGACTGTACCCCTTCTCATCCCTCCTCCGCCCAAAATGTTTCGCATCATCTCAAACAAATTCGGAGGTCTACAGGAGGGCTCGACGGTGGAAATCACTGATTCACTGTGCTGGGAGGAACGTTCCATCAGCAAAAAAAAAGGGGTGCATGATGTTTCATGAAGGCCTGATGTCCCAAAAAGAAAGAATATTAATATATGATATCATTGATTATCATGGTCTAAATGCAAATCATCTACTTTTTGTGGTGGCCAAACGACTGAGACTGGGACCCACTGAGGCGGTTTGACTAGACTATATAGACTGAGACATCGATCCTTTCATCAGCCCAAGTACTCCAGGCGCACGATGAAAGGATGCCCACACCTCCTGCGAAGCCGTCGAAGGCGCCCGAGGCCATGAGAAGAAAAAGGAATCACGAGGGCTTCCCGTAGAGATTGCCATGTGGAAGTCTGGTTCAAACCGAATGTCACCCCACCGATCATTGCACCCCTTTAAAATCATCTAGTTCGTCCACTGGGGAGACTCTTGAACATATGCACGTGATTGGACCTGTACTTACTAGGAGCAAGGACGCTACTAGGGGCTCCTGGCCTTACTAATTGCTAGGAGCAAGGATGCTACTAGGGGCTCCAGGCCTTACTAATTACTAGGAGCAAGGACCAAGGACGCTACTAGGGGCTCCTGGCCATACTACTAGGAGCAAGGACGCTACTAGGGGCTCCTGGCCTTACAACCAGGAGCAAGGACGCTACTAGGGGCTCCTGGCCTTACTACTAGGAGCAAGGACGCTACTAGGGGCTCCTGGCCTTACTAATAGGAGCAAGGACGCTCTAGGAGCAAGGACGCAACTAGGGGACTCCTGGCCTTACTACTACGAGCAAGGACGCTACTAGCGGCTCTTGGCCTAACTACTAGGAGCAAGGACGCTACTAGGGGCTCCTGGTGTTACTACCATAGGAGCAAGGACGCTACTAGAGGCTCCTGGCCTTACTACTAGGAGAAAGGACGCTACTAGCGGCTCCTGGCCTTACTACTGGGACAAAGGACGCAACTGGGGGCTCCTGGCCTTACTACTATAGGAGCAAGGACGCTACTAGAGGCTCGTGGCCTTACTACTAGGAGAAAGGACGTTACTAGCGGCTCCTGGCCTTACTACTAGGAGAAAGGATGCAACTAGCGGCTCCTGGCCTTACTACTAGGAGCAAGGACGCTACTAGCGGCTCCTGGCCTTACTGCTAGGAGCAA